TTCATCATACATGCATGTCATCTACGAAAATTAGGATCAAGTTTTAGCTAAGTACGAATACCTTTATTACGGATTGGCTTTAATGGCAAAGAGTTCAGAAATTGAAGGTCTTCGGTGCAAGGGAACAACTGGCCCACCACCACCTGTTCAATGGCTTCGACATTATTGAATGACGGACCTAAATAGAATTTATTAAGGTCAGCATTGGCTGCTGCGATGAAGTTTGCATCTACATACGGCCTAGTAAGGATATTCCAGAAATCTTAGAAACTCAAAGCATCATCAGATTGAGTTCGTGAAGATGCCATTTAAGTGCAAAGTGTAGTCTTGTTAAGGTTGAAACGTAACAGAGAAGCATGAAGATGAACAATAAAATAGCGGGGAAGAAGCGCAAAATATAGGGACGTGGTTTAGTAGTGCGATGAAATGTCGCGTCTTTTGGGTTTATAAGGGTTCGTAACGCTGCGCCTTCTTAGGTTGTAAAAAGAAATGATGATTGAAATTCTTGGGAATTTCAAATATTGCCTTGGAAATACAAGGTGAATATGGTATAAGTTAATACTTGGCATTAAATCTGCCATATTGGGGAGGTAATTGTTGACACACTAAAAGTACAGCCCAAATTGAATAGCCCAAAGAGTGAAGCCCATTTGGAGAGTCCAGGACAAAGGCCCAAATGATGTTATTGGTAAATGCAGTGGAAACCCACCAACACAATAATATCATCGTCCAAGCCTGCATGACGCCCAGAGTTTGGATGAATGAAGTGCCTCACTGTCGCTCAGAGTGACAACTTCGTTTTCGCTTGAACCTTCGAGTCGCCCAGAATCTTAATACATGAGATATTATGGTCATCCAGAATAGTAGTTACTGAAACAGTTATCGAACCAATTATCACATTCCACGATTTAAGGAGCCCATTTGAAGGCATTTGAACAACAATGAGTAATGGCAGCAGTTAGAGATAACAGTTCCACGACAAGTTAGCCACCATGAAGAAAATGGGTAGCAGTTTCCAAGCAGTTTATCATGAAGAAATCATCATGGGAATATAAAAGAAAAAAATAGACATAGAGAAAGGAACCCGAATCAAACACTCTCAAATAGAGAATATGTAATTTCAATTTCTTAGATTAACTTTAATTATCTTTTTTTCAGTACTCGTGTGCTTGCGCCCCTTAGAGGCATTCTGTTTATTTCTAGTTGTAACTCTCACCAATAAAGCACCCATTTTTAGGATTTTGTCTCAAGAGGTTTGTCTCTTATACAATCGTCTAAATTTCCTTTTAATTGTTAGCGACTACCCGCGCGAAACAAGTACATTTGTTAAGGTAGCGATCTTGCCGGAAGTGAAGATAATCTCTACATTGGCTTTTCCATCCACTTTGGAGCAGCCTTCGTTGCCCATTTGAATCTCTTGATCTCCATCCACTTTGTAATAAGTCTCGAATAAAGATTTATCATATGATACATGTACAGTTGCACATGTATCATACCATCAACTGTGAACCTTTTCCTTGATAGCATTGATCTCACTCACTATAGCCACAATGTTATCTTCTTTGATGTAGTTCACTTTTCCTTCGAATTTTTTTTTTTTTTTTGGCCTAGACATTCTTTTGCAAAATGTACGAGTTTTAAACATTGAAAACAACCTCTGTTGAACTTTTTCTTAAACTTGTCAAAAATTTTAGAAGGCTTTCTCATGTTAGATTTGTTTGAAGGCTTGATCTACTTCACAACATTGACTTTTGAAATACATTCATAAGAATTATCATTCTTATCCCTTGATTTTGACACTTCCTCAATTCGAAAATGTTGCACTTGTTTCAAAGAGTAATCTTTGGAACTATGCATGATTTTCTTTTGATATGCTTTCCAAGTTATCGAGAGTTTTGCAATGATTGTTCCCACTTGAAAAGATTCCAAAATTTTAATTCTCCTTCAACTTGTTGACAAGAACTTACAATTCATGCACTTCGGGAAGAAGAAGAATATTATGAAGGAATTTAAAATCAAAATACCTTGATATGAGAAATTTCGTTGTACTTTCTTCTTCGACTTTATATTTGTTTTCCAACGCATCCCAAATGTCTTTTGCCAAACATGTGTTGGTGTAGAGATCATTCAATCAGTCAAATAACGCATTGAGAATATAACCATGGCATTTAAGTTTGCCGAAGATGTGTTGGTGTAGAGATCATTCAACCGGTCAAATAACGCATTGAGAATATAAGCGTGGCATATGAGTTCATCCTCTTGACGCTTTTGTTTCTCCATTTTTACGGTTTCTATATCTTTATCAGTTGGTTTCGCAAGTGGTGCAAATTCGGGATCAAGAATGTAAAAGATCTTCAATGTCATTAGGAGAAACTTTAACTTATCTTGCCACCTTGTAAAATTTGTCTCATCAAAATGGTCCAAACGAACAAGGTCTTGATTCATCAACTTGATTGTCGTCGTGGCAGTTTTATTCTTTATTGTAGAATATCGTTTGAGATTAATTAGAATATTATCCTTCAAGGGAATGGAGAAGATGACAAAAAGAAAGAATCAAGAACACTGAATATGGTACAAAAACTCAAACACGAGATCGTTGTCCTTAAACGATATTTACCTCCTCTAGAATTTAATTGATGCTTAAAGAGACTCTTAGTAAATGATTTGTAGGCTTGATCAAATCTTGAAGAAGAAAATACTTAAACACTTGCATTTATCTTCCAAAACTTAAAGAACACTTTTAATATTTGAATATATAAATGAATTGGATTTAAAAAAGCACTATAATATGGTTTTGATTATTGATTTGTTATGTTTGTAATTGAAATATATCACCTATTTATATATTTAAATTCACCATCCACGAAATAGTGTCATACTAACATGAAAAGTTGAGTATTATCATGTAGGGACGAACCCAGCACAAAAGTTTAGCCCGGACTGACGTTGAGAATTGATCGTCGACAATCAGCGATCGTAAGAGTGGGGTCATTTATAAATATTTAATTAAATAATATTAAAAATTATTCAATATGCCCCTGTTTGAGTCACTTCTCATTTTCATTCTCATTTTTCTACTCATTTTCAACCACACATTTTTCAATAAAATAATATTTTACATCACATCAATAAATTTTTCTTCTTTTTTCAACTACATATTCCCCATCACATAAAAAATGCATTATCTCCTAAAAAATGTGCATCAAACACAATATATATATATATATATTTGAGACTGACGAAGGGGTTGAGGATGTAGATTGATCAGCAGTCTCTTGTTGGTGTTGATTTTTTAAAAAAATTCTTTAAAAATGGAAAAGTGGCTTCCATGTAGTCCACACATATCCTCTGTTATTGATATAATTCTCTTTATTTTAGCTTTATTCATATACTAAGTATAATATATTTAACTACACATAAAGATATTTTTTAACATGTCTATTTCACAATATCTTAATCTTTTCATAGGTTGCAAACTGAAGATACGGGCAATTAAAAATTAACCAGAACATGGGAAACCAATTTTTAAAATAAAATAAAATTATTGTCTGATCAGAAAATGTTGTACAAGTCTTGTTTAATAACCAAAATGCACGATACAGAGTAATTACATAGTGCTACATCTTTATCTTCCAGATATTTCTTTTATCCCTTTGTTATCTAATATCCTTCCAGTATTTTTCTGGAAATTCTTTCTTGATGTATTCCCTATTTGAAGTGTGGTAATTTATTTTTCCAATCTTCCCCAACTTCACAGATCACAATCTTGACTCAAACCCTTACAACTGTAACTAGTTACAAGAAAACAACAAGAATTACCGAAAATGCTAATTGGTGAAAAACTGAAAATTGAAATGTTAATCGTCTTAATTCTTGTTGTTTTCTTCAAATTCATAATTAATCATAAATGTACTCACACAAAAAAAGAACTAAAACATAAAACAGAAATGGAAAGCGCCGCTTACCGATAACTAGTGCCCGGTAGGCAGTAGCAAGCAGGTTAGCACCCGACAGGCAATGGGCGGTGGCGTTGGCAAAACGCCGACTGTAAAGCAGGGAGAAGGAGAAGTGAAGATCGCTGATTCACCGCCCAATGAAGGGGTAAAGGGAAGGGTTTTGACTTTAGAGTCTCAGTCGGGTATGTGATGATGATGATGATGATGATGATGATGAAAATTATTTCATTTAGCCCTTGTTTGGCCCCCATTAAATTACATTACATTAAATTTTTCTCTTTCTTCATTTCAACCACACATTCATCAAATAAAATAATATTACACACAAATCAAAAAAATTATAACAACAAATTCTCCCATCAATCACTATTCTAAAAATTTTCAACCCCCAAAAATACAAAATAATGGGGCCAAACAAGGGCTTAATTGGGCCACATTAAAAAAAAAAAAGACATAACTCTCTCAGCCTAAAATAAATGGGCCAAAACTACGGAAAAAAAAAGGCCCACCTATGACATGTTCTTCTTCCTCCCCGTCTTCTCCGTTCTTCTCTGTTTTCTTTTTTCTCCCGTCAGCGATGCTCGGCGGAATTAAAGGCTCCGATGGATTTAGCACGAGCTGTCGCGGCCCCTCGCCGAGTGCTGGATCCGCCCTTGTTATCATGCAAAATCACCAAGAATCACACTAGAAAAACTAGTCAACGGCTCATTGATGGCTCAAGCCATATGTACACATGGTTAAATAGCCAGTGTACACATGGCAAAACTCAATTGCCCAATTTTGATTCCAAATCGATTTCATCACATTTGGGTCTAATTTCATCTATTTCATTGTACCCAAATTTAATCATGANAAACCCTGTCTGTTTAGCTTTTCCCCTTCTTTAAATACCCAATTGATGCATCAAACACTTTCTCAGCTACAAAGAGGAAAGAATCAGACCTTTTCAGAGTGTAAAACCAGAAGAATTCAGAAACTAACTCACTGAAATTTCTCCTTTTTTTCCTTTTCAGTTTTCCCATTACTTTTTCTTCAGTACTCTACATGGATTCTTCTTGTAAAGAAGAAAATGGAAATCCAGTAAACAGTTCGTGGGTTCATGGCCCTATAATAGTAGGTGCAGGGCCATCAGGTTTAGCAGTTGCAGCTTGCCTTAAACAAAATGGTGTGCCCTCTCTCATTCTGGAAAGGAGTCAATGCATTGCTTCATTATGGCAAGAAAGAACCTACGATCGTCTGAAACTCCATCTCCCCAAACAGTTTTGTGAACTTCCATTCCTTAGTTTCCCCGAAAACTTTCCTAAATACCCCACAAAACATCAGTTCATATCATACATGGAGTCATATGCCAGACACTTTTCAGTTGAGCCCATATTCAAGAAAGCTGTGGAAACTGCAGAGTTTGATCATGTTATGCAATTCTGGAGGGTTCGAACTCACGATTCCGAGTATTGTTCCAGGTGGCTTATAGTTGCCACGGGCGAAAATGCCGACTCGGTTATACCGGCTATTCAAGGAATTGAGAAGTTTCGGGGGCCTGTAATTCATACTAGTGTGTATAAGTCTGGTTCTGAGTTTAAGAACCAGAGGGTTTTGGTTGTGGGTTGTGGTAATTCTGGCATGGAAGTTAGCTTAGACCTCTGTAGAAATAATGCAATCCCTTACATGGTGGTCAGAAACTCTGTAAGTAGACTTATCCCTCGACTGCGTTTCGGCATAATATTTATAACATGTTCATATTAAATTTATTTTTCAATTGTTATTTGCTTATCTTATCCACATTTTATTATTCAGGTTCATATTTTACCTAGGGAAATGTTTGGTATTTCTACATTTTCAATAACCATGGAACTTCTTAAATGGTTGCCTTTAAGACTAGTGGACAAGTTCCTCCTGCTGGTGGCCAACTTCACCTTAGGCAACACAGAGAGATTAGGCCTCCGACGGCCAAAAACCGGCCCAATCGAGCTCAAAAACGCCACCGGAAAGACTCCCGTGCTAGATGTTGGAGCTTTATCACAAATCAAATCCGGTAAAATAAAGGTAATACGTAATTTTTGCATGCCAATGTGTCCCTTGCGTTGTCCTACGGTCAATACTTTCTCGAAAATCAAAAAACTTGATTACGAAAACCTAGCCTCCTCAGTAGCTCGGGACCAAAAGGAGTGTACACATGGACAGCTCAACCCTCACGCGTCTATACCTCTCGTCTAAGAGCTTAAGGTGTATAGATGGCGACACGCGTCTATTTAAATATTAAATTGTGTACACACATGAAAACTCATATTTAATAACAAAACCCGAGTCTTTTGCTTGGTTCTAATACTTAGCGTCCTAATCATCTCGTCTTAAGTGTTGCAGGTCATGGAAGGAGTAAGAGAGATAACAGAAACTGGGGCCAAATTCATGGATGGCCAAGAAAAGGAATTTGATTCTATAATCCTGGCAACTGGGTACAAGAGCAACGTACCAATTTGGCTTAAGGTACTTACGCATTAAGAATATGACAAATCCATCTTCGTTTTACAGTTTTTAATTTTATCTTATTCTCAGTCTCATTTCGCTTTCAATCTTACACATGCAGTATGCTACAAAGCGTTTCTTGTACAGTTACACAAAAGAGAAAATCTGATGGCATTTGTTTGGATAATTCCAACTTATAATTAAAAAATAATTATGGAATTTCATGATATGTAACTATCATAAAATATTATGTTTCTTGAATCTACACCGTTCTTTTTTCTCTTCTGCAGAGAGAGAGAGAGAGAATTTGTGATGATATTTATCGTCCACTTACGAATATAAGATAAACCCGAGTCAAGGCAGGTCTTAGATCTTTATTGCGTACTCGACTTTTATGCACCAATTTTGGCTCAACTTAAAAAAGTACATTACTTATTTTGGACTTACTGAAGGAAACTTTGTAAAAGCTTAGCGAGACATACACGAAATGTCTAACTTGTTACTCTTACGTCCCAACAGGGTACTGGCTTTTTTACAAAAGATGGCATGCCCAAGACACCTTTCCCTAATGGTTGGAAAGGTGGTAATGGTTTATATACGGTCGGGTTCACAAGAAGAGGCCTCCTAGGAACCTCGTCGGACGCCATTAACATTGCTGGTGACATTGCTGAACAATGGAGGATACTTTAGGGTTTCGAATCAAGTTGTACTTCACGTATTCTTCCAATACAACCAAAAAATAAATACATTTTATGGATAATCAATTTTGGGGGGAGCTTCCAATATAACAAAGCAGAACTGATAGTTTCTTTTTTCAATTTCTATTTCCTTTGTAAATTAAATCAATTTTGCACAGGGCTCTGGTTGTTCTTTTCGTAGGCTGTACGTTTCTTAGCTTTGTATCGTACAGTTTTAAAGGTAGAAATTTTCTCTTTGAGGAATATATTTAGGACCAAAATGAAGACAGAAAATGAAAATTAGCCTCTTTCGTTAATTTTATGTATGATCTCTTTTATTTGATATATCAAACATATTGTTGGTTTCTTCGTGATCGTGCAATTCCTCAAGTCTCATTGTCCCCTCTGTCGCCTCTCTGCGTTTGGGGGTCAGTTTGAGTCAAGCTGTAGACGATACAGCAATTTCTGGCTGATCCGTTTAACGCTAACAGGTAATTTGAAGAATAGAATGAACATTGCGTACCAAAATTATTATTGTGACTCAAATGTTTGACTGTGTCAAAGCAAGATATATTTGGTTATTGATCACAAATGAGGGCATTCTCTTACATGCCAAGAGGTGAATCTATGGCGTAGTTTTTGAGTTGGGACAGGGACACAACCAGAGCTATTTCAGGATCTTTGGCAATGACGATCTCATTACGTCACGATTAAAATCATGTCAAATTGCCCCTTGGATTTTTAGTGTTTTAGCAAACTTTCGAGTGCATTGCTATTTTTTGAGGTTTCAAATTGGTCATTCAACTAATAATTTGTTTCAAGCGGTAGGCATTGCATCCAAATCTGATAGTAAAAGTAAACTGTAAAGTCTTATATTGTTCATGTTACAATCTAATAAGTGGAGTAGATTGACTCAATTTCACTATATGTTCGGCGAGCACCATTATGTATAACCTCATAATTTATTTGAAATTTTTTATCTTATGATATCAATACAAATGTTGACCTGACATCGAAAGAAAGACCTCACTTGGCTATGGCCTACTTATGACATCAACTGATCAACCACCAAGTGTCCATCTCGAAAATCAGCTGAGTCTGGCAACTCACTTAGATAGACAGAAAAAATTATTTGTACAGCAGTAGTGTACAGCCTTGTACACATCTCTCTCATAATCGTGGGCTCCACGGTTATTTTATAATCATGGGTCCCACTATTGTTGTGAGTAAGCTGTGTAACTTGGTGTACAATACCAAGCATCTCTTTGGATCGACCTCAATTGATGAATCCAGTTCATCAAGTTTAGTTGAGTTCGGAACCACGAAAGAAAGATAATTAACTCTATCAAGCAATAATCATTCAAGAACACAAGATTTGTGTTCCAACCTTCCAAACCTACTGACGAGAAAAGGGGTGATGTAGAATAGGTGGCAAACCTGTAACTTAGGCAATGGCAAACCTGTAACTTAGGCAATCATTATGCCAATGTCGCGGCCAAAATCAACCAATCAAAAGCTGTTAATGATGTGAACCCAAATAACAATTGAAGTTACGAAACACACAAGATTGATTTATTTCCAAGAATCAATGTTTAAACTTGGTTCAAAAATATTATTGAACCAAGTAACCAACACAATCTCCGTCAATATGTTGATCCCACGATAACAAGACTCAAGAATCTCACTCGATTTGTTTGAACGAAATAAATAATTTTGATAAGTTCAGAATTAATTGAATAAAGAACAAGAAAAAAACAATAATGTCTTGCAATAAATCTCTCAATAATTGTCTGTCTTACAATGAAAATAATAATTTTATTTATATAAAATCCCTAAAACCTTAGTAAAAAGGGAATTAAACTCGAAAAATAACAAAAGATATCACAAAATAGAATTTTAACTAAAATAGAAGATTGTGCGAAATTTGAAAAATTCGCGGTTGGAAAATACACTATGCGACCGCTTAGTATTAATCTATGCGTTCGTATAGATCAACTGGGTTTCTTCTTTGTGGCCTCGGTAAAGGGGCATGGGACCGCATGCCCTAAACAACTATGCGGTTGCATAGTTGTTCCGTCCAACTTTTCCGTCAATTGCTTGAATCAAGTTACTCCACTTCATTTCACGCCCAACATGAAACTTGTCATTTGTTTGCTGTGATCAATGTTTCGTTCACCGTGGCTTGAGCAAGTAGTTTCATTCATTCTTTGACCTGATACACTCATGACATAGTTATAAGCCCTTCCTCAATGATCAATGAATCCTTGACTGGACTTGCCCTTGTATCATGGATCACATCATCGTGGATCCTTGCCAGAATTTGCACTCGTATCATGGATCACATCATCCCCTCCCTCTCCGAAAGGATTCGACATCGAATATGTACCACATCAAAGAGAGAGATCAGAGGTATTAAAGGTAGTCGAAACATTATACTCATCTGGAAGATCTAATTTGTAGATATTATCATTGATCTTTTTAAGAATTTAGAATAGACCATGTCCCCTTGGCTGCAACTTCGACTTTCTTTCTTCTAAAAAGTGTTCTTTCCTCAAGTGCACTCAAATTCAATCTCTTGATTTAAATGTAACGCGCTTTCGTCCCTTATTTGCTTGAGATGCATAATAGTCATTTTTCTTCTCAATTTGCAACCTTACCTTTTTATGGAGTCATTTCACCAAGATTGCTGTCTTCTTTCCATCTAAGCTACCCCTTTCATTCATGGGTAAAGGAATTAAATTCAAATATGTTTGTGGATTAAAACCATATACAATTTCAAAAGGTGAATAAGAAGTAATAGAATGCGTGACCCTATTACATGCAAATTAGATGAATGGTAAACACTCATCCCAACTCTTCAAATTCTTATTAATTATAGTGCATAACAATTGTATCATGGTACTATTAACAATTTCAGTTTGCCCATCTGTTTGTGGGCGACAAGTAGTAGAAAACAATAGTTTGGTTCATAACTTATTTAACAAAATCTTCCAAAAGTAGCTAAGGAATTTAACATCCCAATCCAATACAATGCTTCTAAAAATGACATGTAAGCGCACTACTTCATTAAAGAATAAGTCCTTAATATTGGTGGTATCATCAGTTTTATGACGTGGAATAAAATGTAACTTCTTACTAAATTTATCTACCGCCACAAATATAGAATATCTTTCGGTCTTAGTCCTAGGTAAACCCAAAACAAATGTCATAGATACATAAACTCAAAGTTCACTAAGAACAGGTAGTAGCATATATAAACCATGAGGTAAAACTTTAGATTTAGCCTTTTTACAAGAGATGCATCTACTACAAACCCGATCAATATCAACCTTAACTTTAGGCCAATAAAAATGTTCACCTAACATCTTTAAGATCTTCGTAACCCCAAAATGACCCATTAGACATACTAATAATTCTCTCATTGGACATATTTTCCCGAAATAAATACCCATCATGCTTAAAGAATCTATCTATAGGACCCTTGTCACATGATTCATATATATCAGAAAAATCTGGATCATTAGTATACATGTCATTAACATATTCAAAACCTAACAATTTGGCACCTAAAGTCGTTAGATAAAGTATCCGCTACCACATTTTCTTTACCTTGTTTATACCAAATAACATATGAAAATGTCTCAATGAATTCCATCCACCTTGCATGTTTCTTATTTAGCTTACATTGACCCCTTAAATGCTTCAAGGACGCATGGTCGGTGTGAATCACGAATTCCTTTGACTATAGGCAGTGCTACCATGTCTCCAAAGTTCGAACAAGTGTATACAACTCCTTGTCATATATAAGATAGTTGAGAGCTGCTCCACTTAGCTTTTCACTAAAGTAAACTATTGGTCTTCGTTCCTGTATTAAGACAGCTCCATTACATATTCCTGAGGCATCACGTTCAATCTCAAAAATATTGTTAAAGTTAGGTATTGATAAAATCGATGCGGTACACAACATATCCTTAATAGTATTAAAAGCATGTTCTTATTCAACGTCCCAATGAAATCCTATACTCTTCTTTATAATTTTCGTGAGTGGTGTGCAAAGTGTGCTAAAATCTTTATCAAAACACCTATAAAAACTAGCTAACCTATGAAAACTTCTTACCTTAGTTATACTTTTAGGTGCGGCCACTCTTTGATGTTTTTGATTTTTTCCTCATCCACTTCAATACCCTTTGCACTAACGATATAACAAAAAAAAAAACAACTTTTTTCATGCAAAACGTGCAATTTTTAAAGTTAGCATAAAGGTATTATTGCTTTAAGACCATAAGCACACATCTTAAATGCCCAATATGTTCATTTAGATTCTTACTATGTACCAATATGTCATCAAAGTAAACTATTACGAATTTAGCTATAAATACACGTAAAACATGATTCATTAATCTCATAAATATACTAGGTGCATTAGTAAGTCCAAATGACATGATTAACCACTGATACAACTCATATTTAGTTTTAAAAGTGGTTTTACATTCATCTCATTCCCTCATCCTAATATGATGATAACCACTTTTAAAATTAATTTAATAAATATACATGATCCATGTAATTCACCTAACATATCATCTAACCTAAGAATATGATGACAATACTTTATCGTGATATTGTTGATAGCCCTGCAGTCAACACACATCCTTCAGGTTTCATCTTTCTTTGGCATAAGTAGTACTGGCACGGCACATGGACTCGTACTCTCCCTCACATACTCTTTGCTCATCAATTCTTTCACTTGCCTTTGAAGTTCTTTAATCTTCTCAGGATTACTCCAAAACTGGTCTATTTGGAATGTCAGCTCCAAGTATGAAATCAATTTGATATTCAATGCCTCGATTGGGTGGTAGCCTACTGCACGTCCTCCGAGAAGTAGCCAAACTAAGGAAGGGGTGTATTAGATTCCTCAAGATTGAGGAATAACTCTTTATAGACCAATAAGATCATATGTTAGTTCTCAACTACCGCCATCTTCAACTCACTCCCTTTTGCAAAGAAATTCAC